GAGAGAGGGAAGAGTACCTGGTATATGTCCAAGATGCCAAAAGGGGGCACATTGGGCTAACAATTGTCGCTCCAAGACTGATATAAATGGAATATCCCTGCCGCACCTATCTAGTCAACAACAGGGAAACGGGCAGAGGGCCCCGTTCCAGGGCCCCAGAACCACAGTGTATGGAGCAATGGCACCAGGCTACCGCAGAACTTTCCTGGGCAGTGGCTGTATACAATTCCTTCCACAGAGCAATCCTTTCGTGTTGCAGACCTCGCCTGAGCAACAGCAGGAAGCACAGGATTGGACCTCTGTCCCTCTGCCCGAGTAATCTTAACTCCCCAAATGGGAGTTCAGGCTCTTCCCACAAATGTGTATGGTCCCTTGCCACCGGGATCGGTGGGTTTAATTTTGGGAAGGAGCAGCACACTTATCAAACACATACAAATACATCCCGGAATAATTGATTCTGATTACGAAGGGGAAATTAAAATTATGACATCTGTCATAGAAGGGGTTGTGGTAATTCCACAGGGGGAGCACATTGCCCAATTAATCTTGATCCCCTATCTAAAGTCCAACAATGCAGTCGGCAGACAAGTCCGCGGTGACTGGGGATTTGGTTCCTCGGGACCTGCTGCATTCTGGGTTGCTCAGCTAACTGATCGGCCTATCTTAAAAATCAAAATAGAAGGAAAATTATTTGAAGGTATTTTAGATACAGGAGCAGATGTATCAGTCTTGTCTTTAAAATCCTGGCCTAAGACATGGCCCTTGGAGGATGGTAATGCTCGACTACAGGGCATAGGACAAGCGACCCCAAACAAGAATGCTAAAATACTGAAGTGGGAGGATGATGAAGGACATACAGGGTTTTTCCAGCCTTATGTTCTCACTGACTTGCCAGTTAATCTGTGGGGCTGGGATCTTTTAGCTGAGATTGGAGCAGTAATAACTACACAACCCCCTTCTGTGGACTCAGAAAAGGCCATTAGAATGATGCAAACCAGGGGATGGCATCCGGGGCAGGGCTTGGGGATGCACATGCAAGGCAGGGTGACCCCCATAAGCCCTAAGGATCAAATTATACACCTCCCCGGAGATAGAATGGGCTTAGGACATTTTTAGTTCAGGTCGCTGCTCCATTGCCCGCACCCATACCTATAAAATGGCACTCAGATAAACCTGTATGGGTCGAGCAGTGGCCCCTAACTACAGAGAAATTGTGGGCAGCTCATGATCTAGTACAAGAGCAATTGCTTGCTGGACATATTGTGCCATCTACCTCTCCCTGGAATACCCCTATCTTTATCATAAAGAAAATATCTGGAAAATGGAGACTTCTGCAGGATCTTCGAGCAGTAAATGCTATGATGCAAATCATGGGACCATTGCAACAGGGTTTGCCTTCTCCAGTAGCAATTCCCAAAGATTGGCAGTTGATAGTTATTGATTTAAAAGATTGCTTTTTAACAATCCCTTTACATCCTGACGATTGCTGTCGATTTGCCTTTAGTCTACCTGCCACCAATTTTTCTAAGCCTGCCTTACGTTATCACTGGGTGGTTCTACCTCAAGGTATGGCAAATAGTCCAACTATATGTCAGGCATACGTTGCAGCTACATTGGAACCTATTAGAATAAAATATCCTGACCTTTATATAATTCATTATATGGATGATATATTGCTAGCCGCTAAAAATACCAAAGAACTACAAGAGGCATTTGCTGAGATGCAACGAGTCTTAGAGGCCTCCGGCCTAATTATTGCACCTGAAAAGGTTCAGATTGTCTCCCCATATAATTATCTTGGTCATGTGATACACAATGGAGGTGTTAGACCTCAAAAATTACATATTGACAGTGCTCACCTAAGAACATTACATGATTGGCAACGTTTTCTGGGTGACATACAATGGATACGGCCCTCCCTAGCTATTAAGTCAGGAGAACTTAGGCCTTTATATAATATGTTGATAGGAAATGCTGACCCTACCTCACCTAGAAAGCCTACGTCAGAGGCAAAGAGGGCATTGCAGTTATTATCTCAAAGTATAGAACAAGCTCATTTGCAACAAATAGACTATAATTCACCTTTGCAATTTCTGGTGTTAGCATCCCAGTTTTCACCTACGGGAGTATTTTGGCAAACAGGGCCTATTATACGGGTGCACCTGCCAGTGTCACCATCCAGAGTTGTTGCGCCTTATTATAACATGATTTTGCAGTTACTTTGGAAGGCTAGGCACACCAGCATACAAGTGTTTGGAAAGCTCCCAGATAGAATCATGCTTCCTTATGACAAAGAACAGGTGGCACATCTGCAGCAGTATAATGATGACTGGACGCTATTTTTAACCTCCACTGCAGCTGCTCCTGTTAATCATTATTTTTTAAAAATCACCCGGTAATTTTTCCCTGGGTAATTAAGACCAGACCTATACCCG